AAGATTAGAAATAATAAACAGTGTGAAGTAATCGTATAAACACGCTTACATAGTTGGGATGTCGCAGTAATAAACTGAATGGCCACTCAATGAATATTCGCTCGCTCGCTTACCAGCTTGATGCCTACACAACAAGGAATAGATGTAGGGAAACATCTTCACTGCTACCTTAAACGTAGCTCGTACGGGTGGTGCCCTCGCTAACGTTTCTACTGGTGATGGATCCAACGGGCAAACTGCCGCAAGGGTGAAGACGCTCCAGAGGAAGTCCTCTGCTAAGGTAACAGGCTCTCCTGTCCTTAGCCCCTAATAAGGCGTCGTTGATGATCTCGAGCGAAAAATAAAGGTGTACGACTACACACACACGCACACAATAGTTTTACAATCACAAACACTAATAAGATTGATCGCACGTATAACAGAGATGAATAGCAACACAAGGCGTCACTTATTGAGAGAAAGAATCTACCTCGATGCATTTCCGGAAGGAACTGGCCGCGTCTCATGCCCTTTGGTGACGTGGAAAACAAAATAGTCTCTCCTCCTTTTATCCCTACTTCTCTAGCTGTTCAATAAGGCCCAATCAGTGAGTCAGAAGGGCGTAGTTTTGTTGGACCTACGCATCGTCCACACGCCTCTCTCTCTCTCTCTCTCTCTCTCTCTCTCTCTCTCTCTCTTTCAGGTCATCCGACCCTTTTTTATGGTCTAATGAGCGGCGAGTCCGTAGGATTTCCAACAAACGCGCAACATATGCAACACATTTATTGCCCCGTTCATGTGTTGAAGGCCTACCGAACAATTCTTTTAAGTGTCGCTTTCTCCTTTGGTGAGCACGAGCTGAGCATACTTTCGACATGACCTGTGCAGCTGATAAATTTTCATATTTTAAACAAAGACGTTCGAAAGCATGCTCAAACTCGGTAGATGCGCAAACGGCAAAAGCACTTATGATAAATATATTTAATCTTGAAATGATCTTGACCCTAACGGACTCAGAACATAAGGACTTCGGATTTAGATTCAACACGTCAAAATACATAAGTAAACATTACACAGGAACACAAAAAATAAAAAGTGGTCTGTATCAAAAACAACACACATATATTCCCATGTATTTTGCCACGCTGAATCCGAATCCGCAGTCAGTTTGACCCCAGCACGTCAGGATCAAGGTCATTTGAAGGTCAAACTCGAATAAAAGTAGTATAAAAAAATGTAACTAGTATTTCTATGGTTTCGAGGGTCGCTGAACATAAATACGTCATCCCCTTGACCCAAGCACGCCAGGTTCAAGGTCATTTCAAGGTCAAACATAGATATTGCACGAAAAGTTGAATTCTGACTACAGATTTTGAAAGTACGGAAAAAATTACGTTCAGAGACAATTTTTTCAATTTTTTTTATCGTGAATCCAGCGGTAATTTCGAGATCATTGTATTTTGATCCCATGAAAATCAGTATGACCATTTTGAAAAAACAGAAGTACGTCTTCAATGAATAAAAAAACTCTTTCCATACGTTTTGACGGTTGCTGAATCCAAATCCGTGATCTCCGTGACTCAAGCACATCAGGTTCAAGGTCATCTGGAGGTCAAACTCAAGAAAACGTAGTTTAAAAAAATGTAACTAGTATTTCTATGGTTTTGAGGGTCGCTGACTCCAAATCCAAAATTAGAATTGCTCCGACTACTCGAGTTTGGTTTGCAAAGTGATAGAATTTATACTTCTCTTCTCTTGTAACGGACCCTTTTATCTTCAAAAGATCTATGCAGCGGTTTTCTTTTTCTTTTTTCCGTTTCTGACTCGTTTTCCCTTTTAAGCATCCAGCAAAAATCTGCCATCATATTTACATCCCATCTTCCTTGATACCGGCGTTCCATCTCTTTGATATCTTGATGAAACCGTTCACCCTGTTATTCGCTATAGCCTGAAAGCGTAAGATTTTATATCACACCTACGTTTTTCGTGTGCCGGAACCCAGGGCACCTCCACGCGGTGACGGCGGGAAACGGCTTTTTTTCTTTTTTTTGTTTTCCGGCAAAGCTCTGGGGTGAAAGCACGATGCCGTCATGGCCGGCACACGAGAAGGTATGATGCAGGGTTTCGGATGCCCAGTATCGGCGGTTGGTCAAGGTGAGCAAGCGGGCCCGCAAGCGTCGTCATCAAGTGACCGCAAGTCTAGTAGAATAGAATCTACTTTTCATAGGTGTGATGGAAAAACAGATGATTTCTGTTATGTTTGTGGAAAATTTGAAGTGCCAAAATATCGAAGGCTGTTATCAGATAGGTTTATAACTATTTACGAAGAATGTTTTAATTTAAAGGTTGTCAGCCAAAATACAGTCTGGGTACCTCAAATGTTTTGCAATTGTTGCAGAACAATGTTATCACGATGGGAGAAATGTCGGACTCGTAGTCAGCTCAAATTTTCACAGCCTATGATATGGTCTGAACCTTTATGTCGAGACGATTGCTATTTCTGTATGACCAAGACTTTTGGCTTTAACGCAACTACAAAAAATAAAATCGTGTACGCTGAAGTAGCATCAGTAAAAAAGCCAATACCGTTAGAAGAGGAAGCTACTGACCAAGAACCTATGGAAGTTGATACATCACTTGCACCAAAGGAAATGGAAGTTGTTGAATCCTCAGATGAGGAAAGTGACAGTCAAAGTGATAGCAAAGAAGATGAATATTTACCAAGCGTTGTCTCGAATAATACCCCCGAAACTTTCAATCAAAAAGAGTTGAATGATCTCGTAAGAGATTTGGGATTACCCAAAGATGGAGCCGAGTATCTGGCCGCAGTATTGAAAAAGAAGAATTGTTGTTCAAGGGGACCAAGGCTTATGTTTATCGGAATAGAGAAGAGAAGTTTCGTAAGTTCTTTGCCAAAGATTCAGAGAACTCGATGACATTCTGTACAGATGTGAGAGGATTAATGAATGAATTGAAACCTAATATTTATAAAGATGAAGAGTGGAGGTTATTTATTGACTCTTCTAAACGAAGCCTCAAAGCTGTACTTTTGAACAATGGAAACTCTTTTGCGCCTATTCCGATAGCTCATTCAACGAAGTTGAAGGAAACATACCAGAATTTGGAAGTTGTATTAGAAAAAATCAATTACTCGGATCACAAATGGAAAGTGTGCGGTGATCTTAAAATTTCAACTCTGATTCTGGGTCAGCAGTCAGGTTTTACAAAATATCCCTGTTTCTTGTGTCTGTGGTATAGTAGAGATAGAAAGCATCACTATGTACAGAAAGAGTGGCCAAAAAGAACTGATTTCAATCCAGGCGTACAAAACGTTCTCCGGGATCCTTTAATAGATCCTTCAAAAATTTTGCTCCAACCCCTTCATATCAAACTTGGTCTTATGAAGCAATTCGTCAAAGCTCTGAACAAGGATGGAAAATGTTTTGAATACTTAGGACAGAAGTTTCCAGGCATAAGTGATGCCAAACTAAAAGAAGGTGTTTTTGATGATCCCCAAATCCGCACTTTATTCAGAGATAACGACTTTATCACAAAGATGACCCCTGTAGAATTGGCTGCATGGTCAAGTTTCAAGAAAGTAGCAGAAAATTTCTTCGGGAATCAGAGAAGTGAAGATTAAGAAACTTTGGTGGAAAATTTATTAAATAGCTACAAAGAATTAGGATGCTTAATGAATTTAAAATTGCACTTTCTACATTCTCATCTTGATTACTTCCCAGAAAATCTCGGAGACTATAGCGAAGAACAGGGTGAACGGTTTCATCAAGATATCAAAGAGATGGAACGCCGGTATCAAGGAAGATGGGATATAATTATGATGGCAGATTTTTGCTGGATGCTTAAAAAGGAAAACGAGTCAGAAACGAAAAAAAGAAAAAGAAAACCGCTGCATAGATCTTTTGAAGATAAAAGGGTACGTTACAAGAGAAGAGAAGTATAAATTCTATCACTTTGCAAACCAAACTCGAGTAGTCGGAGCAATTCTAATTTTGGATTTGGAGTCAGCGACCCTCAAAACCATAGAAATACTAGTTACATTTTTTTAAACTACGTTTTCTTGAGTTTGACCTCCAGATGACCTTGAACCTGATGTGCTTGAGTCACGGAGATCACGGATTTGGATTCAGCAACCGTCAAAACGTATGGAAAGAGTTTTTTTATTCATTGAAGACGTACTTCTGTTTTTTCAAAATGGTCATACTGATTTTCATGGGATCAAAATACAATGACCTCGAAATGACCGCTGGATTCACGATAAAAAAAATTGAAAAAATTGTCTCTGAACGTAATTTTTTCCGTACTTTCAAAATCTGTAGTCAGAATTCAACTTTTCGTGCAATATCTATGTTTGACCTTGAAATGACCTTGAACCTGGCGTGCTTGGGTCAAGGGGATGACGTATTTATGTTCAGCGACCCTCGAAACCATAGAAATACTAGTTACATTTTTTTATACTACTTTTATTCGAGTTTAACCTTCAAATGACCTTGATCCTGACGTGCTGGGTTCAAACTGACTGCGGATTCGGATTCAGCGTGGCAAAATACATGGGAATATATGTGTGTTATTTTTGATACAGACCACTTTTTATTTTTTGTATGCCTGTGTTATTAGAATATACGTAAAAGTCTATATTGTAATTCTGCATGGGTTAAACATGAATTTGGTATACGGATGACTCATTTGATCTCCAAGTGACCTTGAGGAGTCTATTACAAAAAATAAAACATATATATTTAGAAGAAAACTTTTCCGAATCCGAGATCAAATTTTATGTTTTTTTTGTAATAAATGCATTTGGCCTTCAGATGACCTTGAATTTAAATTGCTGAGATTATAGGGACGTCGGATTCATAATAATTAGCGCACCGTAATACCTATAAGATATCAATATGGCTGAGGAATTTTTTCTTGTTCAAATTGTGGTCGTGTGTAATTATTTTGTTAATACGTACTATGCTTTTTTTAACAAAAGTTTACAAAAACTAATTATAACTTACCCATTCAATAATTGTCTTGCATTACGTATTTTAGCTATCTCTATACTAATTAATTCATTCTTCTGAACTTCGAACTTCGACATGGCACGATGAACCGCTATCGGTAATAAATCAATAAAGAGATCTAAAAAATAAAATGTAAAATAAGTATTTTTCAATTAAAAATCATTCTGAGTATTCTTATTGTGTCTATAGTTACTATAAATATTAAATCTTATTATTTAATCATTTTTTTTTCAAACCATTGAACAATATACCAATTCCATAAAGAGTAAATCGAAGTTGATGACTATATTAAACGGACATACTAACGAATTCTCACGTAACAACTGCATTCAACGCAACGTGAACGTCTCTCGATCCTTTCGTTCGATTGTTCTGTTAGTCCGTGCTCTCTACCATTCCGGTGTAATTGCACATATAATGGCACAGAGGATATGCATTCACATAAGATTCAAATGGGATCAACTTACCGACATGACATCTTAAGTTTCAAGTGGTACCCCCGCTTAAGACCAAAAATGCCAATCTCCCTGGATTTAAGAAATGAGTATTTAGGTAAATTCTAAATCTAAAAGAAGTAAGTTTGCCGCAAACCGAATCTTCCTAGACCCTTTTCAAGCCAAGATATATTGAAAAAGCTGGTTTTTTCACTTTTTTTTTTCCAGATCTAAAGAAGCTATCGATACCATATTTACGGCATTATTTTCTTTGGATAATACTGATTTTTTTTCAGAGATATGCGGTTGCAGGAACTGACCTGAAAAATTTTTTTTTTAATTTCAAATCACTCTAGAACTAACCGTTTACTTGTTTTCGGCTCAGATTTTCGTAGGAAAGTAAAATATTGTATAATTTACATATCTAAATTTGTTTCAAACTGATGAAATTGGTGCGCCATATTGAAAAATTAGAAAAACTCGTTTTTTTAGGAATTTTACACCATTAGAGCTTCAGCAGAGCTAGCTTAGGTAAAACGGATGATTCCGTCGTATTCTACCAAAAGAATACATTAAAAATATATATAAATATTTTATTTCAATCACTTTTGACTATGCAGAATATTCAATAATAAAAATGTAGACTGCACCAAGCATGCCAAAAAATGTTCACCTTTATACTCCTACTGTTCTCCTTCTAATCAAAAAACAAAATTTTTAGGGAAAACAGACATCCAAATTATAAACCTGTAGTCAGGGACTTAGTCGTCAACTACAAAGCTGTTAGATGCCTAATACGTTAAAGCTCCACTTTTCAGATTATCATTTGGATAAATTTCCAGAAGACTTTGGAGATTATAGTAAAGAGCAAGGGAAAAGATTTTAGGAAGGTATTAAAGAGATGGAAAGGCGTTACCAAGAATTTTGGGATGTCAATATGATGTCGGAATACTGCTGGAATCTGAATAGAGATACCTCTGTCAAACACAAAAGAAAGGCGCCAAAAAGAACATTTCATGAAACATACAGACCAAAGAAAAAAGCGCGCTTACATTAGAGTGATATATTTATTACCAGATATTTTTCTGTTTTTCTCCAATTGATCTGTAAATGACTTTTGAAATTTCAATGTTCTTGAATTATGATTCAAAAAAATTGAGAAAGTTACGAACCTTCTCATATGACTGAAAATATTGCCAGTATAGGGCTTAATTTTTCTCAAGAGAAACAATCAGATTCCTCCTATTAGCCTACCTACTGAACATCGAATAGCCAGGCCTCGAAGAGGGACTGCTGGATCCTTCCTGAGGAGTCCAATCCAACAGTCTTGGATGAAATGCCTATAAATTCTTAAAATCTTGCTTCTGTAAGCTTGCCAACCAGTGACCAAAAGTAATTTGCAATGAATTTCAATTGTATAAATTTTGAAATTGCTCTTATGCAGATTACTTTTGTCATCATGTCGGGATTACAGAACTAGAGGGTTCAGAAAATTCGGATTAAGAGTCTGAGGTTACAGCATCGTAGGTTCACGGGACTCGAGAAATAATGAAAGTAGAGTGCGGTGGTTTGGGGTTACAGTATGGCAGGGTTAACTGTTCGAGAGTTAAAAACATTTGAGCTCCTCAGTTTACAAGGATCAAAAGTTTCGGAAATTGGAGCGTGAGGGGTCGGAGTTACTAGGTGGCAGGGTTCTGTTCTCGATGGTTAAGGAAATTGGGGTGTGGGTGGTTAGAGTTACAGTGTGGCAGAATTAAACGCTATATAATTGAAAAAATGAGGGTTAAGAGGATTGGGACTACAGCGTAGGAAGGTTACGTACTCGAGGGTTCAAGAAATCGGGGTTATGAGGGTCGCGTCTACAGCGTAGAAAGGTAACATGCTCGAAGGTTAAGGAAATTGAAAGTAAAGATCTGAACTTATACATGCAAATGTTACAGGACTTGAAGGTTAAGGAAATTAGGGTTTAAAGCTATTTTCATTTCTTACAAAATGAACGAATGAACTTAAAATGACCTTGACCATAACTCAATGGGATTCAATGTATACCATGTTTGCACTTAGGATACAAAAATACATTATGATATATGATTGAAGTGCATAACACGTTTGAAATGACAGTTCGAATGAGTCGAAAAGAAATTTGGCCTATGACTTGTTTGACTTCTAGGTGACCTCCAAGATCCATGTTGGAAAATTCGAAGAATATGTATTTGAACGTAAAATTTATCGCTCTTTCCGAATCCGTGATCAAATTTTTATTTTCGTTCAACGCGTTGAAAGACATAAATATTATGTGGTCCAGTTAAATCATCTTGAACTTTTTTTATTTTATAAACCTGTGTAATTATCATATTACTGGCACAATATATTTATTATTCTCAATTAAATATCTTCCATAAAAATGAAAAGCCAATGACTAATGATCATTTAAAAGTTAATTTTCAGAACTCATATGGTTGGAAAAAAATTTTTTTTTATTTATTACTCCAAGACTATTCAAAATCTGTCTTACATATGGAGACAATAAGCAAATTTTGTTGCTATTAGACATATCTATAGTCGTATATATAGTATAGACAGTAAGTATACTGTCTTTGTTTTACAGTATGATTGAAATAATTAAGTTAATTTATTTGTGCATTTATTAATTAATGTTTTTTCAATGTGGTGTTGGCAATGGATATCTTGAAAAATTTGTTGACAAGTTTATTTAGGTGGTTTTGAAGTTTGGAATTGTATTTTGCGTATAATTTTTTAATTTCTTCTTTGACTGTAGGTATCTGTAAATTATTTCGGACGATTACATTCGATACGAACCATGGTGCCCGTACTATACTACGTAGGAGTTTCGATTGAAATCTTTCCAGGATTTCGATATTCGAGTTAGAAGCGCCCCATAGTTGAATGCCATATGTCCAGACTGATTTAAGTATACCCTTATACAGCAGCAGTTTGTTTTCAATTGAGAGCTCCGATTTTGTGCTGATGAGCCAGTATATTTTCCTTTATTTTAGACCCAACTGTTTAAGTTTAGTGAATATATGTTTTTTCCATATAAGTCTTTGGTCTAAGCGAATACCTAGATCTTTTATTTGATTGCTTTGTGGAATATATTGTTACACTCACACGCACACTCACACAAAATAATAATAATAACTTTGTTATAAAAAGAACGAGAATGTATTTATTTAAAATAACCACAATTATATGTTTATCGTCTCAATGCAAAACATACTCTGAGAAAACAAAGCGAACAAAACAAACTAACAAAATCGCTTAGCAACGTATTTCGTTCGAAATCAGAGGAGAATACATAACATTATTCCCCCTCTTTTAGATTATCGTCTCGACCATCTCACAAACGAAAGAAAGACCGTCCTCTTCAAGCGTGTTGATCCTTGACTCACCGGGCCAAAGGACCCGTCTCTTGAAAAGATGATCCATCTTCATTCTTGAAAGTAGCGTATCATCAACTTGAAATCGTGAAATCTTAAAAATCTTCTATTTTCAAGCGGGTTAATCCTTGACTTATCTGGTTACAGGACTCGTCTCTTAAAATATAGAATCATCAAATCCAGATAACATCAGGGTACTACTGTGGGCAAAAAGTAAGGTGAATTTTCAATTTAAACTTCGCGGGCTTAACATTTCGGGCTAGTTCTTTTTTTCTTGAGTTGGTAGGACTGCGAATGACATCTGGGACAAATTTCATGTCAATGTCATCATCAGTAATATATTTACGCTTGTGTTTACCAAACGACCAAGAGTGCATGTTTCGATTTTTACAATGTCTGATTTAATTGAGCAAAGAAGTGCCATCAAATTTTGTTTGCGGAATGAAATTTCGGCTGCGGAAACGTTGAGGATGTTGCGGAAGGCCTTTGGTGATTCTACCATGTCGCAGAAAAATGTTTATAAGTGGTACAAAGACTTCAAAGAGGGTCGAGAACGTGTTGATGACTTGGAGCGCTCCGGACGACCATCGACGTCAACAGATAACCAACACGTCAATAAAGTGAAGGAATTAGTGCTCGAAAATCGTCGGTTGACTGTTAGAGACCTTACTGATATGATCGGAATATCAGAAGTATCTGTGAAAACAATTTTGAAAGACCATTTGGGCCTACGAAAAGTCAAATCTCGTTTGGTACCGAAAACGCTCAATTTCTTGCAAAAAAGTCGCCGCGTTGATGTGTGTGAAACAATGCTTTCTGACTATCAGGACAAGCTCAAATGCATGATTACGGGAGATGAGACTTGGATTTATGCTTACGACCCTGAAACAACCGACCAATCAAGCGAATATCGTGCTAAAGGCGAGGCCAGACCGAAAAGAGCACGTCAAAGTCGTTCAAAAATCAAGGTCATGATGACAGTTTTCTTCGATTTTCGTGGTGTGGTGCACTATGAATTCCTTCCACCCGGCCAAACTGTTAATAAGGAATATTATTTGAGCGTTATGCGTTGTTTGCGTGAAGCAATTCGTCTAAAAAGACCAGAATTATGGGCCAACAACTCTTGGTTTTTGCATCACGATAATGCACCATCTCACACTGCACTCGTTCTTCGTGACCATTTCGCCAAAAATTCGACGCATATCGTTCCGCAACCACCGTATTCGCCTGATTTAGCTCCGTGTGACTTCTGGCTATTCCCAAAACTTAAGAGACCACTCCGGGGA